TTGGCATAGAGTTTGAAATAATGCCACTCCTTGCTTTACTGACTGGATTGTCTCAGGGGGAAAGGACACACACATGAAATTTTTGGTATCCAATAGACATGTGCATTCGGATTTGGACGAACCTGCAAATTAACCAGCCAGTTGATTCGGCGGTTCGTCTGAATCCAAAATAACGAATTCACTATATGCCCTAATATATACGAAAACTATATTTGGGCATACATAAATTCATTTTCAGAACACGACGGGGGCCATATTGGCCGTCAGCGCGTTCTGTGCATGCCCGCCGCCATCTTGGAGGCGGGCCGTATGATGTCACATGCCGGTGACATTACACGCTGAACGAGCGGTCCCCATATAGGCCGCCAGCGTGTTCTACGCATGCACACCACCATGTTGGAGTATATCTTGGTGTATACCAAGATATATATAACAAGATTTACTCCCAAACTGTGACACGCATGAGCAGAATGCGCCGACGGCCGACAAGGCCGCCGCTCGTTCTGCGGTTTCAGTGTGCAGTTTTGGATTCGGAGGCTCGTTGCCTCTGAATCCGAAACATAAAAATGTGTTTCTTTTGACGAAACGAATGAAAACGTTTTTCGTTTTCATTTGTTTTGTCTGAAAAACAATTTTTTGGTTGTTCACATGTCTAGTATCAAATGTTTCTGTAGAATGCTGCAAGTGGACCCTAGTGTCAGATATACTTTTTAATGTCAATGGGTAACTCCACTTTCAAATTTAAAAATCTAAAAAGAATCTTAAAAAAAATGAATATAGCATATATTCACTATGTAACTATATATCATTGTTGCACAAGCCATTTTGCATGTTAATGTTATTAAACATTATCTTTCCATTTAAAACTGTTGTTTTTGTAATTCTCTGAATCTGTAAAAAAAAATGTAATACAATATGGCAACCAAGAGTCACAGTTGGTATACAGAATGCCGCAGAAATGTCACTTCCTGCTTCCGGGATTGGCTGACTGATTTTCCCACAAGTCTGCACTTAGATACAAGTAAAATGTTAGGCACCCCTTGCAATAAGAATTACATTTTCGTTGAGATACTCCCTAAATGTTAAGTACTACTGAAGGGATGCCGATACTGCACCTTTCCTTATTACAACACAGGAAGCCCACCAGGTGGTTATAATGAACCCAGACAGGGATCAGTTTTAAACAGCTTTTTCTTCAGAACAGAAACAGTTAGGACACTGCAACAAAGTTTGTTAAAATCCTTGTATTGTTCATTGATCATTGATCAGCCAGAGCGAACTGATTTTTACTTAACAAAAGTGGAATCACTCTTTAAGTGCATACAGGCTCAAGCTGGCCATACACCTTACAATTATCTGCAGATTTTCTGTGGTCAGATGGAAAAGGTGCAACAGATTCCTCCATCTACACTTAACTGTGTGGATGGAGTCATCTCCACCTGGGGCTAGCTTCCGTATTCTTGCTGGTCGGCCCCGCTGGCTCTCAAAACACCTGAACAATGCCTGCATCCAATCAGATTGTTCAGGTATTTTGACGTCCAGTGGGGCCGACTAGCAAGATACTGAAGCTTGGCCCAGTGGGAGATTACTCCATCCACACAGTTTAGCATAGATGGAGGAATCTGTTGCACTTTTTCCATCTGACCACAGAAAATCTGCAGATAATTGTAAGGTGTATGAGCACCTTAAGTAAAGTGTATTTGTAACCCTTGCAGGCATCTTTTACGTCTGACACATGTTACAGTACTCCTGCTGAAAATGCCTTCATCAAGTTGTAGAGAGTCTATTTTCTAGTTAGAATCACAACATATCTAATCCATTTATTTATTCAAGTGGATCTGTCAGTCTCCATTATTTAATTCCTGACATGTCACAATATAAAGCAATAGTTTTTTTTTGTTTTTTTTTATTCCACCTTATATTGTTATAAATCAGTCCCTGAGCTCCCATCCAGTGACTTTGCCTAGTCTGAAGGAAGCATTTTTATAGTATCCTCTCTGCCAGTGATTTTTTTTGGTCTAATGTCACTTTGCTGCAACGGATATTTATCCACAAATGGAAATTCGTCCGAATAACAAATCTTTCCAAAACGAATCGCACATGTCTAGTCTCCACCAGAAGTGCATGTGACAATATAACAATGCAGAAGCACAACTGGGGGATAGTTGTCATTTCATAATTTTTTTTAAAATGTGCAAATAATAAAAGATTGAAAACCACTTTTAAAATTTACAGTAACATGTTGTAGCTAGTAGTAGTTAGTCACATTTACCTGGACTTGTACTGTAATGCTGGTGACTATGCAGGAGCTCGACTGGGAGACAGTTGTTACCCAATAACTCCAACGGGTTGATTTTACTAAAGGATTTTCACTCTGCAACGGAATGTGCACTTTTCAGGGAATGTTTCCACTAGCTTAGTGAATGAGGTGAAGCTCTGCTGACTACCAGCTCTGTGTCTTTATTCAACCTCAAATACTATGTAACTATGTAACCATCACCTTGCAAAGTGCAAATTCCTGTGCAAGATTAATATTGTATTTGCATTTAGTAAATCAACAGGATCACCAGTTATTCTTTAAGAGCTTTTTCAGATGGGCATACATGTTCGCACGACGTGCACGCCCGTAAAAAAACTTTATCCTAGAAGGGGAAGGGCTGTGAGTAATTACGTGCAGCAGCCTGTTCTTCCTTATGAGAGAATGTACAGGTTTAGGTGTGCATGTGACACGTCCCCCAATAGGAAAGAACATGCTGCTGCGAGCAATCACAATTAGCACCTATCCCTTCTGGGATTGGGTCTTTTTATGGGCCTGCACGCTGTATGAGCCCTAAATAAAAACTGCAGATTTGAGAACAATTTTTGAAATTACATAAACATGTTACAACTTATAAAAGTTTTAAGTTCTAATTAAATATTAACAGCAGACATATCCTGACTTCAGCACAATTGCAATGTTACCTGTACAGAATAAGCAGTTCAGTGACCTTGTATATTCGATGCCTAGAGAAGCACTTTATAGAATCCAATATAGTACAATTGTACCATTGTAAGTGAATCAGAGCAATGGATTCTGGCAAAAGTAAGATATATGAATAAACATATTTAGTGGCAAAACCAGGGCATCCTTCAGAAAATCGTGACATTTCTGGATTACGTTTAAACCGGGTAGAAACGGAAAAAAGCTGCCATTTGGAAATGTTTCCTAAATAAATCTGAGTGAATCCTATATTTTTCATTGTTGCAAGATATGGAGGTTGCAGTGCCTTGCAGTGACAATAGCCCCTCAGTGCCTTCCAGAATTATGCAGCTGGTCCTGGTACCTAAGCTGATAACAGGGGCATAAATGCTGATAGGTGGACTGGAGTAATTTGTATGAATTCAATTAGTATTACCTGAAAACACAGAAAGGAATTTGTCAATGTCAGCGTACTATACAAAATTCCATTACTTTCAAATGGAAATCTTTTTCCATAGTAAATAGGATTGTGCTTCAGCTTAACCATCTCCAAGTCAACCCTTTTCAAATAAATCTTGCTGATCATGATTTGTGACTATAAGGAAGCATTGTCTGCTATGGTTGCAGTTCTAAATTGTAGGTTCAATGTGGCATATTGTAGCTGATAAAAATATTTCAAAATTATATTATATTTTATTTGTTTATTTATTTCATCTATTTTTATTGAAATAAAGGAGTCTCAAGCACAGAATTTAATGCAATCCATATCATGTCACAGTTCAAACTCTGTTGTTTGATCATAGGATCAGCTACTGAAACCTAGTGAACTAGAGAAATAAAAGAATAGGAAATAGAATAGAAGGGGGTTTGGGATTGGGATATGAGTGATCAGCTGCAAAAAAGTGAGCACTTTTTTATGGCATTTTGGGAGGGGCAAATGCACAAAACTTGCAAATGAAATCCCACTCACTGATACTCATCAGTCCTAGATTATTCACTTCTCCTGCCTTCTCCAAAGACTTCACCATTTAGTGAATAACCCTGTCAGTATTTAGTTACATTTACTGGCATTTGCTTTGTAATGTTTCACAATTCAGAACAGGTCTACCTGAATATGACTTGCTAATACTATCTATACCATTACCTGGATACATGATAACTTTCACAGACATTTAGTTATGTCTGTTTGATAAGAGCAAAAATACCTATCGATCCTGCCAGAAATCTAGTAATGTCCTTTGTCCTGTGCATTCTGCAGTGGTAACTCAAGAACTCTAATCAAGTTAGGACTACAGCTAGCCCCATGTTATGAGGAAAGGGGTAGAAGTTATGTAATCCTAACACACACAACATTGCTCCTCCATACATACATTACAGTAATCACCCTAAGGCAGAAAGAAGAACGTATGTTATTGGCCGAATCCCAGGTAACAAATAGAGTAAATTAAAGCCTGAGAAAAGAAAATGAATCCAGCCACCTAATTTAAAGACTAGTAAGCTGCAATATCTTAAATTTTTGTTCTTGGGTGTTTACAAGCCACCACTAAGATAGCAATCTTCCCTATGGGACAATGTATTCAGACACAATTGCCAAGAACTAGAGGAAACATTGGCTGTAAATGTCAGAATGACCAGTGGTAGTAATTTATTCTAGTGTAGTATAGGGTACATGGAGGACGTCTTCATAAGGATGTCCCTTAAGATACATGGAGATGCAAAAATAGGAGGCCCCTGAAACAAAAGATCAGCATAATGCCAACAGGAATACCAAGATAAGTACAGATGGCACATGGACAATGCAAACATTCTGATCACTTTGGTTTTAAACCACTGACCTACAGAGTGACTGATTTATTTTTGAAATGATAATATATATATATATA